GTCTTCCTGTTGCTCATCTCCAAGATTGTGCCTCCCACCTCCCTGGATGTGCCACTCATTGGCAAATACCTCATGTTCACCATGGTGCTGGTCACCTTCTCCATCGTCACCAGTGTCTGTGTGCTCAACGTGCACCACCGATCACCCAGCACCCACACCATGGCGCCCTGGGTCAAGCGCTGTTTCCTACACAAGCTGCCCACCTTCCTCTTCATGAAGCGCCCGGACAACAGCCCCACCAGGGTCCCTGAGCCCAGTCAGTTACACCTAACCAATACCAAGGCCACCGCCACCTCCTCTGGCGTGGGCCCACCCAGCCCCTCCAACTTCTATGGGAACTCCATGTATTTTGTGAATCCTGCCTCAGCAGTTCCCAAGTCTCCAACTGGCTCCAACTCAGCGGGAAACTCCAGGGATTTCCGGCTAAGGTCCTCGGGGAGGTACCGACAGGATGTGCAGGAGGCCTTGGAAGGCGTCAGCTTCATTGCCCAGCACATGAAGAGTGATGATCAAGACCAGAGTGTAAGTCATTAGCCCAGCCCCTGCCCACGCAAATCACATCCCTAGTCTCCCATTACCCACAGTTCATTAATGAGATACACACACACATACCGGTTGCCTTTGTTTTGGAGTTACCCCCGACTCATGGTGCCCCCATGTGCATCAGAGTAGAACTGTGTTCCATAGAACTTTCAGTGGTTGATATTTTTGGAAGCGGATTGCCAAGCCTTTCTTCCAAGGCACCTCTGGGTACATTCGAACCTCTAACCTTTCTGTCATCAGCCAAGGGTGCTGATGACTGTACCACTCAGGGACTTTGAGGACTCTCAAATTCTTTGAATAAGGAATCCACACTGATCCCTGACCAATGCATGAAGCTCAGTGTGGAGGGAGAGGAAGGAAGTGCTGGTAATCATTTTTGTTTGTTTGTTTTGAGTTGTTCTGAAAGCACACCTTGAGATGAAGACTTGGGTACAGATAGGTTATTTGGGAGGCAAGCCCAAGAAGCAGAGTGAGACAGTGGGGTAAATGAGATGGGAATAAGAGGAAAATTGATATCAGGTACCACTGAGCATTTTACTGCTGTGGGCCAGTGTGACTCAGTCCTGCTGAGGACCTTTTGAGGAATCCTGGGCAAATGGCACTGAATCCCCCCACTGGAGTGAGTTTGAAAGATTGATTTACCAACCAGCTCCCTCCCAACCATAGGCTGAGGGCAGCCTGGGGGTCAGTATCTCTCTGCACTTCTGGGTGGTATCAGCTTGATCAGCAGAAAGCCCTCTTGTGCTGAAGAAATCCCTCTGGCAAAGAAGTTGTTGTTGTTATGTGCCATGGAGTCGGTTCTGACTCATAGCAACCCTACACAGGGTTTCCGAGGCTGTAAATCTTTACGGGAGCAGAACGCCTCATCTTTCTCCTGCGGAGCGGCTGGTAGTTTCGAACTGCTAACCTTGCAGCTCGCAGCCCGATTCATAACCACTACGCTACCAGAGATGCAAACTTTTGAAGTGGGAGGCTGGAGGTCGCCTGCCCAGCCTCTAGGGAACACAGGTGGATTGGGTAGCCAGAGTGTCAGCTCCCATTCTCTTCCAACTTGCAAAGATTAGCATACAAGGATTTCTAGCTTTTAGGAGTACAGAAACATCCCTCAAAATATGATTGCTACCAGCGAAATACATTATTAAGTAGAGTGGCTAGAATTACAAAATTTTCTTACAGATAAAGCAACAACCATTAGGATTTGGAGTCCCCTTTGAACAAGTAACACTTCTAAGGACACTTTCATAATAACTGAACACAGAACACAATGGGAACAGAAATTCTCACACGTGTTTTTTCATACTAGGCAGGGGAAGAAGCTTCAGACTCTTGCAGATGTCCTCACTTCAACACCTTAACCGATCAGAGTCTTGGAGCAGGCCTTTATGACAGCGCATAGTGTCTCTCCCTCTGCAGCTGCATGGAGACAAAGAGAACACCTCCTTTTTACCTTTCTGAGATTCCTTTTCACTAGGCACATTTTCAAGGGAGAGCACTGGGACTCCATTAGTTCATGCTGAGAGAAAAGAGCCGCTTGGAACTGCGCCAAAAAATGGCACTATAGAAAGGAACCCATGGCATATAGGACGTGAGCTATTCTTCTACACCCTTGCTTGCTACTCAGAGTGTGGTCCTCAGACCAAGAGCACCAACCTTACCTGGGAGCTGGCTGCTGTTGAGTACTGACAAGCTGATTTCGACTCATAACAACCCCAATGTGACAGAGTAGAACTGCCCTGAAGGGTTTTCATGGCTGCAATCTTTTTTTTTTTTTTTATGTTTTATTGTGAATTATGTGATAGTAAACTATCACATGGGAGAACATTAGCTTTACTTTCATCCTATCGTATATCATTTCATTGCTCTGGTTACAATCCCCTCCATGCATCATCAACCAACCAAAGGGTACACCCTGCAAGCCTGCCCCTCGGTCATCAGCACACTGCCCCTCTCCCTCTCTGGGTCTAGAGTCTCCAGCCGCTCCATCTTGGCTGCAATCTTTTATGGGAGCAGATTACCAGATCTTTTCTCCTGCAGAACCACTGAGGGGGAGTGGCGTTCAAACCACACCAACCTTTCAGTTAACAGCCTGGTGCTTAACCGTTTGTGCCACCAGGCAGGGCTCTATGGGGGCTTCTTAAAAATGCAGAATTTCAAGCCCTCCCCCAGAATCTGCCTTTTAGCCAGATCCCCAGGAGATCTGAGGGGACAGTATGGTTTGAGATTTACTTACTAAAATATTCATTTGATCATATTATTCTCTAATTCAAAACCATTCAGTTGCTCATTATCACCTAATTCGTTGGCTCTTAAATGTCAATGTGCTGCCCCTTGGGGTCTTGCTGGCTAAATGAGAAACTGGGGAACTTTTCAAACTACAGCTCTTGGGCTGTGTCCATTTGGAGGGAAACGTGATCCCTGGATTGGTACCACAGCAGCAGCAATGGGCTCAAGTTAACAACAGTGAGTTTGGTGCAGGTCCTAGCAGTGTTTTGTTCCGTTGTGTATATGGGCACTATGAGTCCGTTTTGACTTGACAGCACCTAACAACAGGGCCTCTAGGGGAGGCAGTCTGCATTTTTAACCAGATCTCTGGTGGTTCCTGGAGTCTAAGGTAGTGCCGCCGATGGTGCACTGCTAACTCAAATCTGGAGGTTCGAGGCATTGCAGAAGAAAAGTCTGGCAATCCACTTCTGAGAAATCAGCCATTAAAACCCAGTGGAGCACAGTTCTGCTCTGACACATGTGAGTGGAAATCAGCTTGAAGTGCACCATACAGTTTGAGAAGTTCTGTGCTGCACCACTAGCTGAGCCTGCACCCACCCTGAGCTCGCTCTTCTACAAACCTCACAACCCGTTGGCACACACGAGCTCCTGCTGTTTCTTGCAGACAGGGGCTTGACCTTACCCGGTGTTCGCTGAGCCTTGCCCACACATCAGATGCTCTGCCAGAACCAACTTAACATTGCTGCTGACTCTTCCAGGAACCCTGGAAATACACAATACACCTCAAATGGGTGACTTTAAAGAACAGTGATCTATTGATTCACAGTTTTGAAGGTTGGGAGTCAGAAATCAGGCATCAGCAGGACTAGGCACTTTCTCTTCCTCTCTGGACTATTGAAAAGATTCTTGTCTCTCTTCATTTCTGCAGTCTAAATGTTTCTTTGTGTTCCTTGGTTGCTAGATGTGTCTTCCCCTATGTGTGTGTGTTCCCTTGGACTCACCCTATGCTAACTTTGTTAACATAACAAAAGAACCCCCTCTTTCAAAATAGGGTTACATTCACAGGCATGGGGTTAAGATATCAACATATGTTGGGGAACACAATTCAATCCATAACACCCATGCAGTGGCTTTCACTCAAATTCCTATTTACAGAAACGGAAGTGAGGCTCAGAGAGGTTCACTGACTTGTCCAGAGTCACACAGCTGGTAAAGGGCAGTGCCAAGCTCCACATCCGGTTCTTTCTGATATTCTTAAACTCTTTCCCTCCCTTCCCAGTGCCTTGCCCTGTGCTGAGCATGTGGTGAACTTCTTGAGTGACTGGATTTTTTACATCTCCTTTGAGAAAAGAAATTTCCTTCCCTTCTAGAGCAAGCCCACCCTTCACCCAGTCCCATGCTGTGTTTTTCATCTTCAGCATTTTCACCCTCCCTGGTGATTAACTGGTCACTATAAATAGCACGGAGTTCTGGTGTGGCGCTGTGGGTTAATGCGCCAGACTGCAAAACCGTTTGAACTGCAAGGTCGGTAGTTCAAGCTCACCAGCTGCTCCTCGGAAACCCTATACAGGGTCACTATGGGTCAGAATTGACTCAATGGCACTTAACAACAATAGCACAGAAATATAAAAAAAAAAGGGGGAGGCACCAAAAAGAAAAGGGAAAAAAGCCCTTTGAAATTAGGACTGTCAAAAAGAAATTCGGTGAAGCTGGGAAACGCCTGATGCAGCTTAGGGACAGGAATCAGGCCAGGCACGTGGGGTGTGGAGTGGAGGCTGGCTCAAAACAGGATTATGCTACACAGTAGACACACACCATTAACTGACCCTGACAAATGGGTCACTGACATCATCTTGTCCCTTGCCATCTACAGTCCCCACTCCGTAACCTCAGCTGGATTCTCTGGTCCTGCCACACTCACCAGGAAAGTATGCAGCATGATCCAGACAGGCAAGGGTGTGAAAGTAGGCATCAGAGAGGCCAGGGTGCTGGGCACACAGGTCTCTCTCGGCTTGTCCCCTAGCACGAAGGGCAGGGCACTGGGCACATCTGTGATGACACCTCTGGAGGCCAGCCAGGTTTCTGTCAGCCTCACACCAACAACAAGGTCTGAGAAGACCCAGGAGTAAGAGCAAAACCCAGATGATGGAAAAAGAGGCTGGGGCTTAATTATAGGAAATAGCAGATGTTACTGTTAATGGTGATTCCTGGTATGGCACTGTTGGATAAGCACTGGACTGCTTAACAAGGTCAGCAGTTCAAACCCATTAGCTACTCCTTGTAAATCCTAAACAGGGTCACTATGAGTCAGAACTGAGTCGACAGCACTTAACAACAATAAAACAACAACTGTTAATGAGGAGTTCTGGTGGTGTTATAGTTTAAGCAGTGGACTGCTAACCACAAGGTCAGCAGTTCAAATCCAACAGCTGCTTCGAGAAAGATGAGGCTTTCTGCTCCAGTAAAGATTTACAGCCTCAGCAACCCTATTTAGGGTCACTATGAGTTGGAACTCGATGGCACCTAACAGCAACTGTTAATGAGGAATCCCTGGATGGTACAGTTAACACCCTCAGCTGCTATCTGAAAGAATGGAGATTGGAGTCCACCCAGATGAGCCTTGAAAGAAAGGTCTGGTGATCAGCTTCTGAAAAAATGAGCCCTTGAAAACCCTTGGTGCACAGTTCTGCTCTTGATACACGTGGGGTTACCATGAGTTGGAACTGATATAAGGGCAACTGATAACTGGTTATTATGAGTGAACCGAGCAAATTAAGCAGTGTGATTTCCAGGTGTCCTGCAGGTGCTCATTGCGCCACCTCAGGCAGAGGGTTCAGGAGGAAAATGAGAGGAAGGGTCTTGTGATCTTTAGGTATCATCCCACTTTATAAGTCAGATTGGGTTTTCAAATCGCAGTATGTGGTATTACTAATTCCTGACATTCCTAACTTTCTCATACAACCCTAGTTCCCAGTGGCTCTGCCATGCCATGTGGAGGGAGGTGCAGGGAGGATGATTAGTTTCAGCCCTTTTGACACTGACAGGCACAGAGTGGCCCAGCTTCGAGACCAGCCTCAGACTGGGACTTGCCGCTCCAGGATCTCTGAGGTCCCAGGCCTGTGGTCCTTGGGTTTACTGGCCTAACAGTGAGGCCCTGACTTGGGGGGAGGAAGATCAGGGAAGACCCCAGTGCTTAGCACCTGTGACTGACCCCTCTGTCTGCCTGCAGGTCGTTGAGGACTGGAAGTACGTGGCCATGGTGGTTGACCGGCTGTTCCTGTGGGTGTTCGTGTTTGTCTGTGTGCTGGGCACCGTAGGGCTCTTCCTGCCACCCTTCTTCCAGACCCACACGCCTGCCGAGGGGCCCTAGGCTGCCCGATGTGTCCGCAGGCCTGCATGGGTGCAGGCTGAGTTGCTGTGAGCTTCCTTCTGAGTCACTGGTGACAAGGGCTGAGATACACAGGTGACCATTGGCCGCTGACCTCGTCAAACTGACCATGGCTGTGAGACAGGCGAGGAAGGGGAGCTGGACTGCCCTCTCTGAAGGCCTTGGAGGCACCCCAGGAAACTCAGGCAGAGGAAGGGGACTTGGAACAATGGAATGCAAGCCTGTCTTCCTTCCTTTCTCAAGGTCTGGAATCAGCATCTGCTGTATGCTGGGGTTTTTTGCCCACACCCTGCATATCTCTCTACCTGTACCGCCCTTCCCCCTTCTCTGTCCACTAGGCTCCAGCCAGGCTGTCCTTTCAGTCAAACACTCCAAGAGTGTTTGTCTCTAAGCTCAGAGTCTTTCCATTTACTGTACCTCCTACCCAGAAAGCTCTTCCTCAACTCTTCCTGTGGGAAGCGTTATCATCCAGGGCTCTGCTCCAATGTCACCTCCTTCCAGAGGCCTTCCCTAGTCACCTGATCTAAAGCAGGCCTCCCCCTCCCCACGATTACCCACCCCACCACCTTCTTCACACATTCCTCAGCACTTAAGCTCTTACTTGGTGGCATGTTGATCACGTCTTGCCCACTAGAATGTACGATCTATGAGAGCAGGGGCCTGGTTGGTCCCTCATACACTGTGGGATCCCAGAGGCAAGGACAGAGCTTGGCATACGGCAACTGCTCAATAAATGAATGAATGAATGAATGAATGAATGGCTTCTGCTCATCCTTCAAGCTCACACATCTCCGTCTTTGAGCAGTAATTCCTTGCTCACCCATGTGATGGGTTGAATTATGTCCCTTCCCAAAAAAGACAGATTCAAGTTCTAACCCTTGGTACTTGTGAATGTGACCTTATTTAGAAAGAGGGTTTTTGCAGATGTAATTAGTTAACATGAAGTCATGGTGGAGAAGGCTGGGCCCTATTCCAATATGGCTGCTGCTCTTATAAGAAGAGACACAGAACACAGAGACAGATGAAGAGGGAAGAAGGCCATGTAAAGACAATGGAAGTGATACTGCTAGATGCTAGGGAATTTCTGAAGCTGGAAGAGACAAGGAAGAAGTCTTTCCTAGAGCCTCCATAGAGAGCATGGTCCAGCCAACACCCTGAACTTGGACTTCCAGAACTGTGAGAGAACAAATTTCTGTTGCCTTAAACCACCCAGTTTGTAGTACTTTGTGACGGCAGCCCTGTGTGTGGCACTGTGGGTTAATGCGCCAGACTGCAGAGCCATTTGAACTGCAAAGTGGGCGGTTCAAGCTCACCAGCTGCTCCTCGGAAACCCTATACAGGGTCGCTATGGGTCGGACCCAACTTGACGGCACTTAACAACAACAGTCTTTATGGGAGCAGCCAGCCTCAGCTTTCTCCCAAGGAGTAGCTGGTGGGTTTGAACTACTAACCAACCTATGGTTAGCAGTCCAGTGCTCAGCCCACAGTACCACCAGGGCTCCTATGGCAGCCCAAGGGGACTAATATACTCCTCCTAAAGAGAATGGCCCTTCCTCTGTGATTCCATAACCCAGCCACTTCCTGCTCTTACATTTTGGTTGGGTTCAGGGCTGTGTCACTGGTTTTATAACCCCTCTGTTCCCTCCCATCTACAATCCTTAGCACAGTGACTGGCACATGGTTGTTATTTTAGTGCTGTTGAGTCAGTTTTGACCCATAGGGATAGGGGTTTAGGGTTTCCAAGGAACATCTGGTGAGCTTGAACCACCGACCTTGTTGTTTAAATGGGCTTTGCAGTCCATCGATTTAACCCAGAGCACCACACCAGGACTCCTGGCCCATAGTAGGCACTCCAAATGTTTCTGGAATATACGAGTTTATGGGGTTTCTGAGGAGTGGCCAGTGAGTTTGAACCACTAATCTTGTGGTTTGAACCAACCTTGTGGTAATGTACCTCATCTCACAGCACCACCCGTAACAGCCATCATGTAATTTATGTTTCAAAAATTGTTTTAAAAAAACACTCCCCCCCCCCCCAATTTAACAAAATACACAGAGTGGATGGAGAAGGGCAGCTTGGATATTGGATACTCAAATGGGGAGGGGGGACTACGAATTTACCACCATGATCATCCTGGTGGGTGACCAGAGAGGCCAAGGGCAGCAAATAGGAGTGGGGGGAAGTAAGGCATCCTTCTGTTGACTCCATCTAGAAACCTAATTTTCTGTTTTCTTTTTTATTGAGGAAAATTTTAAACATACTAAGAATAGTGTAAGGAACCTCCTAGTTATCTGTCACCCAGCCAGCCTCAACAAAGATCAACTCACTACCAATGTTGATTTCAGTGGATTCCAACTCACCCACCTAATCTATGAGGACTTTTTGAAAACCAATCAAATATCATAACACCTAATTTAAAAAAAAAAAAAAAAAAAAACACCTAATAGCATCAATTATGAGTACTTTAATTATCCATTTGAGAGCGTGTTAAAACCAACCTAGTGGTCCCCAACCCACTGGCACATGCCCCAGAAGCCAGGGACAGAGATTCAGACCCTATTCTCTCTCTAGCTCCGGACAGAGCCTATTTAGCTCTGGTTCAGCGTGGCTACAAACCTTTTAGTGTGAACGCACTTCCCAGAGTCCGCACCGCCTACTCCTGAGGATCCTAAAGTACAATTTAGGAGGTGTTGCGTTCCC